GTGGACGCGTTGTACTGGAAGAGCCGAGATTATGCATGCGAACTAAGCTAAGTGTTACGAGGACAAATTTCTACACTTCGCGCTAAGAGCGTTTCCGCGCTTCGCTTTGCAAGGATATCGGGTGTCGCAGAAATTTGTCCGCGGAATTTTACACTCCTGAATATTTAACAGGATATATCCCCCCCCCCTCCTGCCTCCTTATTGTCTTTGCACGAGGGAGAACAATTACTCTAGCCAAAGTAGACAGAAACTAGAAATGTTGCTGGAAACCGAAATAATTGCGGCGCGAGACTTTCGTAACCGTATTTTTTTTTTAATCCCCTTCTCTCTCTCACTCACTCACTCTCACTCACTCTCTCTCTCTACCCTTCGTTGATGGTCGAAACGTATCTCGAACGTGCTATTACGTCGAATTTAATCGCGTGGACGCGTTGTACTGGAAGAGCCGAGATTATGCATGCGAACTAAGCTAAGTGTTACGAGGACAAATTTCTACACTTCGCGCTAAGAGCGTTTCCGCGCTTCGCTTTGCAAGGATATCGGGTGTCGCAGAAATTTGTCCGCGGAATTTTACACTCCTGAATATTTAACGCGATATATCCCCCCCTCCTGCCTCCTTATTGTCTTTGCACGAGGGAGAACAATTACTCTAGCCAAGAACACTCTTTTCGAGAGGGACAATTTTTGTTCCGAATTAATCGTCGATTTTTATTCGTCGAAATTATCGATACATGAATTATGAGAAACACAAATTTATAGGATAAAACGTTGGAAATGTATTTATTTAAAATCGTATTCCAATTTGAGAAAGACCAACATGTTTTTTGTCGTAAATTTAAAATTCGGCTTTTAGTAAAAATATTCATTACGAATAATTAAATTAATTATGAATAACCGTCGACGTTATAATTGGATGGTTACACGGAAACGATTTTGCTCGCGTAAAATTCAAGATTTAAATTATGCATATTCATACGTTGGTTCGTGTGTGGAATTTTACATTTGAAATTTTATTTCATCAATAACACTGTTAGTCGCGGTTAAGCCGTTTTCGCATAAATTATCGGGTCGAAGAGATAGCCCGTTTGTCTTTCATAAAGGAGTGCGTTCTTCTCGGCGGGATTGAAAGCGCAATAAAACGCGCTCGCCGCTACGGAATTACGCGAAATCTAATTACGCGCTTAGCTGGACGAAGCTTGTCTCGCGCTTGTAAACGAGTTAAGTGTTACGAGGCAAACGTCATAAATGACTTCCATGATACGCGTGATTATTTATTTATTTATTTATTTATTTTTTTTATGCTCTAAATTGGAATTTTTTCATATTTCTCGCCCGTATCGTCTTGCTCCTGGCCTTCACGTCATAAAGCGAATCTTGCGATTGTATTCGATAGAATTTTAAATGTCGAGACGCGGACTTGAAATTAATCTCGCGAATTAAGCAGCCTTGCGTGAGTCAAGTTACCGGCACAAATTGGAGCCGTACTGTTGAAGCGCTTTACAGGGTGCAAAGTAAATATACTTTGGAGACCGATTTAATGAATTCTAGATATAAAAACTTGATCTTTCTCAATGAATTCTAAATATATAAATCTAATCTCTCTTCCGTTGAAGTGAATCTACTTAACATTAAATTGATTGTGTTATCTAAGTTGTGGGAAGAGTTTAGTCATTTTGTATATATACCAACTGAGATTTGTATACACAAATTTCTCGGTACCGTGTAATCGAATGTCACGGAGACGCTAATCTAAACTTATCGCCTCGTTTTATTTTCCGATATCTCTGTCGAAATGCGTGGTCCACCGCTACTGTCAGCGATAACCGAGTACGATAAGCGATCAAATATAATATAACACAGCGTGTGTAGAAATAAAACAAACAACTGAGGGGTCACGTACATCCTTTTGAATTATTAAAAGACTCGAAGCATTGCTTTTTAACAGGGACGGATTTATGTTTCTCCTACACCTTTTTTACCTTTTTTACCTTTGCTCACTTACTCTATATAAAACACATTGAGTTATTTTTATATCCCGATAAAATGGCGCGAGAAAAATCCAATATTCGATACTGATATAAAAATTAAATTTCGCGGTTTTAAGAGTTTTAATAGTTTTAATATCTGCAATTTTCTTTTTCACGAAATAATCGATCTATCTAACGAGAGAGCGTCTCGTTTGTAATTATCCGTTGGACTTCTGGACCGTATGACAGCTTGCAGAACGTGACGAGATTTGACACGAACCCAACTTAAGAAAGACACTTTAATACAGCCCTGATCCTCGCCGTAACGGTAGCTAGTGTGATGTACGTGACACGAGGATGCATGGTATGCCGTGTCATATTACGAAGTAATCCATCGATTTCTGCAAAATACTTCCCCGGCGTAATGCATTATGGATGCAGCAGCTTGTTGCACCGCGCAATAATACTTGCAGTCGCCGTCAATTTACGGTGTATAAAATATTTTCCCGTTATCGATTTTGTAACTATAAGATATACTTTATGTTTCGGAGCAAGCATTGTATAATTATATAATCGCGTGAAAGTTTCGTCCTTTTTTTTGGGAAAACAACTTATAATAAAAATACGAAGGAACAATCTTGTGATTTCTGATCGAACGATTTCAAAAAAGCGTATAAATAAACGAAGAATTTAATAATGGACGTGCGTCTTTTAATGAAGAAACGATATTTTTCCTCCATTCGTAAAACGTATTTTTACGTCTCTTCGTCTTCGCGTTCATGAAGCGTATTCTCGTCCCTGACAGAACAACTTTGTCTATAAATATCAGCAGCCATCTGCGAACGACAAAATTACGTGCACAATATGCGCCGAACAACATGATTACAGAAGGAAAAAAGAAGAGAAGAATTTATTGAAGTTTATGTCTTGACATCCGAGCATTAAATAACATTCGTCAAGGCGAAAAAAATGCTAATATCATAAAAACGATGCAACCGCAGAGTCAGCTTATCTTGACAATTACTTGGCAATTTTTAAAACAGGATATTCCTGAATAAATAATGTTTTTTAATTAACTTGAATTAGCTAAAATTTGATTTGAGAAGATTTGGACCTAGATAGAAAAATTTCATAATAATCACCAAATTAGCCTAGTAGCATAAATATTGTATAGTATTAAGCGAACAATTTTTTATTTCAAACGAAATTGAATTTTGAATTATATCCGCTATAGAAATTTTAATTTTAATTATTTAGAAATCGTGCAGAAGCTCGCGTTACAACGGCTTGTTGTAACAAGCGATATCAATAGATGATGTTCGCTTGACATTCCGACACAGTGCCAATAATTCCAATAATACCAACAATTGCCGCAGTTCTTTTTTTCCGACGACACCGACAATACTCGTAATTTCTGCAATCATCATCTCATTTACGACAATAAAAGAATTGGATACGCGAGCGATTCTGCCGCGAGTAAATAGTGGCGATTTTGCATCATGAAATCGCGCGCGTCAACAGTGTGTGTGCGTGGGGGATGACCCGAGATAACCTTCCCCCCCGAGAGAACTGTCACTCACAAATTCACTGTACCGTTATTCCCAGCGACGAAAATCGGAACGAAGGAATCACACAAGAGATTGCACGCGCCCGAGAACTCCATCCTCTCTCTCTCTCGATATCGGGACATTTATAATGATAAATTTATCCGACAATGAAAGAGTGAGAGGGAGGGAGAGGGAAAAAATACAGAGTATCATTCCTGAAGCGTGATTTTTCTAATTAGTGATCGGATCGTTATTTTAATGACGAGACGATTATGATGTTGCGTGACGTTTGTAATTTCAAGAAAAACATTCAAACTCATTAAATCGAAGGGCTCGGGGCAACAGCGTGTTAAGCGACGCGATAGAATATTATTATATTATACACAATTGGAAAAGAGAAGGCTAATATAGGATGTCTTTTCTCGCAAAGAGATATACAGTAAAAAAATACTATGAAATGAGGGAAGCAACCAATAATAAGTTTAAGAATAAAAATATTGATTAATTAATCTATTCAACGTGTTAATTGTGACATTTTCTGTTATTCCTATATTTATTTATTATTTAATACTTTATTCGTAATTATTAATATATATATATATTAATAATTAGCGGGATTATTAATATATATTCTTATTATATATATATGTATATATTATAAGAATATATATTAATAATTACGAATTAATAATACAAATATATACGGAATTTCAAGATGATAACTTATCGCATTTCTCTCCTTATTTATCTCTCAAAAGTAATGGAATATTCTAGCAAACTTTCATCGATACGTGGTCGATCTCATCCCTGCAGACTAACCGTATACAATCGCTCGGCGCCTTCGGCCATGAACAAGCGAGCGAGCGAGCGAGCGAGCGAACGCGACCTTATTCCGACGAGACGGGATACGCGCGTTCCTGATCCCGTTGCATCGGTGCAGCGTCGACGAGGACGACGATTACGGGCGAGCAAAGCGTCGTCGGGGAATTGCGTAGTTAATCGTCGAGAGATATAATACCCGGGCCAGATCTTTTTTTCTTTCCCTTTCTCCCGCCTCCCCTCCCTCTTTTTCTCCGTTTCTTTCTCTCTCTTTCTTTTTTTTTTCTTCTTCTTTCTTTTTTCTTTTTTTTTTCTCGCTCCTTGCTCGGATAATCCCTTCGGGTAACGCTTCGATCTTTCCTTTTCTTTCCCCTTAGCTGGCGTGAACGAAAATCCGTTGGAATTTAATTTTAAACGTTGCCCGTTTTAAGAGAACTTTGTCTCGAGGCGTGATATAAACTCTCTGTCTCTCTTTCTCTCTCTCTCTCTCTCTCTCTTCCGCACGTTTCTTTTCTCTTTCTCTCGCGAACGCAGTCGCCGCCCGCTCCGAGAAGAATCCACCGTGATACGCAACAGGTTATCGAAAGGCGCATTCACACACATACGCAAATGACATTTGTATACACGCGCCATTCTCATATAACACGCGTACACATTGTACACTCACCGTGCTCGGCGACCACCGTCAAAGATCCCACCAGAAGCGCGCACAGGACGACCAACAGCAGCGGAATCCGCATCGGTCTTTGCCGTCCGTTCGCGCCGTTGAAGAAGCACCACCGTTCTTCCTCGCGCGCCATAGCTGCTTCAATGATGACGATGAGGGGTCCCTCTCTCTCTCTCTCTCTCTCTTCCGCTTTGAGAAGGGCTTCACGTGAAACTTACACGAGCGTTTCTCGATAAAGAAGCGGCGAGAGCGTGCTCACGACGACGACGACGAAGGGCGAAAAAGGACGGAGGGGGAGACGGACAAAGGCGCGGGTGGCGAAGGGAGAACCGGACGGAAAAGAAGTAGATGGGGAGAGTCCGGGGTTGACTAGAGATTCGAGAAAGAAGGGGGAAAGGGAACGAGAGTGCGCCGTCGCGCGAACGAGTAGCGATCTCTCGCCTCTCGCGCGAGAGTGCCTCCGAAACGTCGGAGGCGATTGTTCTGAAATGAAAAATCCCCCCGAGCTGCTGCTGCTGTTTCGCGCTCGTTGCGGTGCGGATACGATGCGGGCCGAGACGCGAAAGCTAAGCGGAAACGTGCGCTTTCGTGACGACGGCGCGCGACACACTGACGCTAGCGAGCGAGCGAACGAGCGAGGGACAATCGTGTCTCTGAGAGGCGTGAGAAGCACGGCACGTCTCGCTTTAAACCGGTACGACGACGAGGACGACGGCGACGACGAGGAGGACGACGGCGGCGGAGACTGCGGTAGCGACGGCATTCGCTTGCGACGCGAACGGCATGCTCGCTCTCACTAGCCGCTCGCCGCGTTCGCCAGTCGCTCTCGCCCACCCTCCCGGACATAGCCGTGAGATTATCTAGATGGTCATCTAGATGAGCGCTCTTGCCGCCAGATAACGGACGAGCCGACCTCACGTGCGTTTCCGCCCGCCAAATTCGAACGGCGTTTCGAACCGCGTTGGCGAGCGATGATATTTTGGCATAAACAAAACTTTTTTTCTTTTTATTTTTTTAAATAAAAAAAATGGAAAATAATTGAAATTAGATGACAAGAAAATAATAAACGTTAAATTTTAATAATAAATAAAATATAGGTGAAATAATGTAGTTACATTTATATAATAATAATAGATTTTTTGTTTTTTGAAACATGGGTTTCATTTATTTAGAATATGGATTGATGTTTGTTAGATAAATTATACTATCAAAAGATGATATTCTTTTGACGATAGGTACTCTTGTCGACAAGGTGGACAACTGCTCTACCGTAACAAGATAATATTGTCTCGCTTGTAGAAGATATAATTATTGCAATTAATTATTTAATTCTGTATATGTTTTTTTTATCGAATGTTTAATAACGTAAATATAGAGATTATTGATTTAGGTTCTCGATAAGATACTCTTTTGCAAGCTGGCATTCATAAAAGTGAGAATCACCGGAAACAGCGATGAAGGAAGAAAAGGTTTCTTCGCGTAGTGAATCAGGGGGTGACACGGGGAGTAATTCCATAAAATTATGTGAATCTCCCAGGTGCGAACTATCGATTGATTGATGTTGTCCGAGAATAGCCTGAAAAAGAATGTCAACAGGAAATAAATAAGAGTTCGAATAAGCAAATTAAATTATATTTTCTCGTAATTATAATTTTTTTTTTAATTTGAATATATATAATGGTCATATAAGATAAATTTTTTAGATTTGAATTTGATTTTAATTTTTACTATATATATATTATATAACTTGTAATTAGTACTAATACTTCTATCTCTCTCGCAGCGATTTATATCCGATTTATATAATTTTACCGTGACATTTGCTTTGTCCGAAAACGTTCGGTGACATCGTTTGTTGTCGGCGTCACACGGAAACGACAAAGAGGCGTCAACTTGTCGCCTCTGCCGATCCTTCTTACGTAGCATGTACGATCTTTCGGTCGTGCGACGAATACGATCGACTTCGTTTAATGCATCCAAAGCCGGCGCCAGCTTGGAGTCGCGTATCTTCGCGAACTCGTCCCTTTCCGCGATCTCATCCGCATGTTTGACGGCCGCGATCAGCTTCCTCTGATTCTCCTCGATTAGTATACCCCAGGAATGATGCCAGTGCACCATGTGAGCGATTAGATGTGCGTCCACGCTTAACGGCGTGATTCCGGCGTGCTCAAGGTATCTACTGAGCTCCGTCCACATTTGACCCAGCTTGAGTCGCAGGTACATGTCGACGCAACATAAAGTTACCTGAAAAAAAAAAAAAAATAAGGTACTTGATCGTTTCGGTATTGCTTAAATTAAATAGATTAAATTAGATTAAATAAATTAGATTAAATAAGGATATAACATTATTTCAATTAAAAATCAAAAGCTAATAACTCGTATTTTACACATTAGAAATCTGTTTGTTATTTTATTTTTATTTGCTCGATGATTTATTTAATACGAATTTTTTATTTTGATATTACTATCGTTTTCTTTTTTGTCCTTTTTTTTTTTTAAACAAACGGATCTTTGTTCGATCATCGAGGGATTTTTTAATCTTACGCGATCTTTTATTGGCAATTCGTGGAGCAGGATCTTGTAATGTTTTTTAGCAATTTTGTATTTATCGCCATCTCTCTCGATGATTTTCAGGATACTAAAGATCTTCGATCGCATTGAACCGATCATGTCGATTATAGTGGGACTGGCATCTGCCGTGAGCTGTGAACGATAAGTATCTGTCCATTGCTTAGTACCCATCTGAGGTAATTCAGTATCTGAAATTGCAAACGCGAGAATTAATTTAATTTATAATTAAAAAAGTTCTTTTTTAAAGCAGCTCTTGCAAAAATATATTTAAAAATTTCTAGATTTGTGCGTTTTTCAAGTAGACTGAACCGATCGTCTTCAGTTATCAAAAATTGTAATAGCTTTATCAAGAAGAGAAAGGAGATTAAATTAAATGTAATTCGAACTTTTGATTCGCGGAATTGTACCTGTTATCGAACCGTCGGCACGCCTTTTGATGCCGATCCTGTCTTCCTCCTCCCGCCAAACGATCGCGAGCAAGGACATCAGTCCTGTCTTTTTATCGGCGCCTCTCCAGGTGCAGAGACACGGCCCACAGAAGGTGCAATCGCATATGTCGGTTAGCGCACCGAGATACAAACATCTCACGGGATAGTTCGCGATCTCGACGACGTCCAGCATGGAATACAATCCGCCACTCTTGAGAAAAATCTCAAGATTCACGGGACATCGTGCCATGCATTCCCAAATGTAAGAGCCTATCGCTAACAAAAGTCTGTCGAAGAAAAATTAATATAACAAGAAATTGATTAGATATCTAGTAAGAGTATATCGCAGTATATTATTTATCTTTTATCTTTTGTATTTTTTATTTTATTCTATAAATTCTTGATTTTATTATATATATAAAATTCTTTTATTTTTTTTTTATTTGGCAATATTTATAAAATATTATTTAGATTAGCAAAATGCATCTCATAATTCAATTGTTAGACATTAGCATAGAAAAACAAAAATATTTATCTAAATTATATGCCGCGAATTACCGTTGATCCACTTGGAAATTCTCGTTTTCTTTATACAAACACTTTGCAAAGATTTCCATGATGAGCTCGACGCTTTGTTTTCCATACATCTGCTGAACAGACGTCTGTTTTTTCACCAGACTCTCTAGGGCGATCAGCAGCAACGTTAGAATTCGTTGCCTCGTCATCGTGAACTTATTTAAACCCAGTATATTATTAATTAATTCTGGAATCGGAAAATACAATATATGTATTTATATAAATTATTTTGATTTTTACACGGATTTTTACACAATCTTTAATGAAATAATATTTTATGTAATATTTCATTAAATATGGTCATAAAAAGTTAAAAGAATTTTTCTCAAATTTAAATATATTAATATAAGATATTTTATATATCT